ATTAAATAACGACAAATAGGAACGAGGCGCAGGCGCATCGGTACAAATTAATTTACTTTACAATTAAATTAAACGTGATTATTTAATTAACAGCAAAAGAATTACACTTCATTTTTATAGAACATCATCGCTTCAATGAATTGATAGCGTCCGTTAGATTTTGTATTCAAGAAAATCCTTATTTGAATGTGCAACAAATAACTCTACAAGCAAATAAGATTGATAAGACTAGTAAAATTTAGTAAGTTAAAACAAATAAATGAAAAACAAAGCTGTGAATAGTGTGCAACAGATTGAAAAAAGCTTTATTTATTTAACGTTAAAATCCTGTCGCCAGTAAATAAAATAAAAGACGAAATTTAAATCGACCACACTGGCAATTTTTGGTTGACAATGTATCACAACGTTCCGACCATGGGTTTTTTGGTCCTTAACAAGTGAACTAAAAATTGTTTCCAGTATTATAAACAGAAAATAAATTACAGTAATTTCAAATAAAAAGTGAACAGAAAATTATATACATACAATATCTTAGTTAGAAAATTATATACATACAATATCTTAGTTTATATTGTGACAAATAAGGAAATCACTGTGTCAAGATTTCATCATATCAACCTCTCCATGAAACAGAGAAAGATAAAACAAACTTTATTAGTCTATCATAAATATTGTTTAAATTCTCAATGTCCTTTTGTAAGTTAATAATGTTGTCAAACTTTTGATAAAAAACAGTTCAGCAATTTCTCTCTTCCTCACATGTTTTTCATTGTGTAAAATAACCGGTATTGACCAATTAAAGTCGTGATTAAATTCCAATTTATGTTTGCTAATGACAGAAAGATTACTTTCATCCATTTTAATGTCGTTAAAATGTTTTTTGACACGAGTGCCTAAATGTCTTTTCGTTTGGCCAATATATGACGTATTACAATTTTTTTTATAGTATAATTTATAAACGATTTCAGTCCTGCTATTAATAGGCAATCTATCATTTCCACGTTTAATCAATGCATTAAGTTTTTTAGGTAAATTATAGACAACAATAAGATGTTTATTTATTTAAATATGAAAAAATAAAATTATAACATAAAAATAAGTAGTACATAATAACGCATTATATATTACGCATAATAATGCATATTCTGTATCTTCATTGATTCATGGTTTTCTTCTTTATATTTTTCATACACACTGAGTATTATGATCAAATGATAACATGATACACGTTAAACTTTAATCTCTTGTGCACGAGTCAGACGAGTCATGGCTGTATACATTGTGGGACCGGTAGTGGAAAGTAAAATATGAGTCGGTAAGATAGTGAAAAAAATTTGTAAAATATTTGCAACTTGATAGTAAAAGAATGGTCTTATAACGATTTAATTCAAGGTAAGCGAAGTTGAATGAACTTAAAACACACACATACTCTCTCTCATCATTCACTGTCCGGTCAAAAGCCAATCCAATTTGTGTGATAAGCCAAAGGCCCATTAGGCGTCGATAAATCCATTTGAATTCTCGACGTCGCCCGCGTGGAGATGGGGACGGCGCGTGAGCGTTATACACTCTTTCGAAAGTCTTAATGTTTTTAATTTTACAAATATTGTGAATAGCTCTCCCTAAATTTAATAATTGATAGGAAGAACAAATGGCAATAGAGAGCGAATAAGTAGGTGAAAATTATAATAAAGAAAACAGTTATAATAATTTAATAAAAAGAGATGCAAGAGGTAAGAATGTACAGAGTTTCATATAAATAGTCTGGAAATATATATAAAAGTAAAAATAAAAATAAAAATAAAAATAAAAATAAATATAAAGATAGCGGACGTTTCGGCTCTTGGTTCGAGCCTTCTTCAGCGCAAAGATATAATATTAATAAATAATACGGGACATACAATAAATCATAATTACTAAAACGAAGAATGAATAAAAGCAATGACGAGATCGCAGAGACGTAACGTTAATAATCGCTTGTCAAAAATATTGGTCTTCATAGTAAAAAGATGTGGAAGCCTTTATTACGCGAATGTAATAGAAGTAGAACAGTGGCTCGACAACAGTACCAGGTGCAGTCTAAAATTGGCACCGACAAATTATAGATGTTAATATTATAAAAAGATGAAAGAAATAAAGGTACTTACTAAGACACTGTTCTACTGTGGAACCAGAGATGGAAAGCGTACAACAACACGTCTTTGTATCATGACATTATAAACAATCTACCGAAAATATGAAAGTCACGTTCGAGTATATATAAGTGCCTCTCACCGTCATTTTTGACAGTAACCGATTTTATGTTTGAAGCTTGTTGTACGCTTTCCATCTCTGGTTCCACAGTAGAACAGTATCTTAGTAAGTACCTTTATTTCTTTCATCCTTTTATAATATTAACATCTATAATTTGTCGGTGCCAATTTTAGACTGCACCTGGTACTGTTGTCGAGCCACTGTTCTACTTTTATTACATTCGCGTAATAAAGGCTTCCACATCTTTTTACTATGAAGACCAATATTTTTGACAAGCGATTATTAACGTTACGTCTCTGCGATCTCGTCATTGCTTTTATTCATTCTTCGTTTTAGTAATTATGATTTATTGTATGTCCCGTATTATTTATTAATATTATATCTTTGCGCTGAAGAAGACTCGAACCAAGAGCCGAAACGTCCGCTATCTTTATATTTATTTTTATTTTTATTTTTATTTTTATTTTTATTTTTATTTTTACTTTTATATATATTTCCAGACTATTTATATGAAACTCTGTACATTCTCACCTCTTGCGTCTCTTTTTATGAAATTATTATAACTGTTTTCTTTATTATAATTTTCATCTACTTATTCGCTCTATATTGCCATTTGTTCTTCCTATCAATTTTTTAATTTTATTTTTAATTTCATTTTTAATTTTATTTTCTTCATTTTATATGCAGATACATAAAAAGATATAACACGTACAATTATAAAATTACAATTTATTTCAGTCATATTGTACATATACAAGTGAACGAATAAAATGCGGAACAAAATAATGCTACTGGTAATGCTAGTCCTCTTCTTCGTCTGACTGCAACGAGCCAAATGAGGCAACCTCTTTCCTTTCTAGATCCCTAGAAAAGAAAGGAGTAGATGGCGGAGTAGAGGGCGGAGAATACGAAGGTGATCTCGGCGGAGAGCCGAGAACATCCTCTTGTTCTTCCACCTCCTCATCCTCCTCCATCTCCTCCTCTTCGACCTCGTGTTCAAAATTCTCTTCTTCCATCATTTCATCCCATAGCCAATATGCCGGACATTTTTTTACTATTTTACCATCTGGATTCAATACCATGATGTTTTACCTTTTATTAGTATTAGGAGCCGAATACGTCCGGTATTCAGTCTGTTGCGGTCTTATATACCGAGGCTGCCTCAATTCTCTTATGCGAAATAGTTTGCCCCTGCTACCATCTGTCGGCTCGCCTCGAACTGAAGGCCTTAGGGCTCGCACCGCCGTACGCGTAGCGCATGCATGACTTGGAGTGCAGTAGGCACTGAATGTGTGGTAGATCGTAGCCGTCACAGTAATATAGTTATAATAATATCTTATAATAGATAACATATATATATATATATATATATATATATATATATACAGCGTGTGTCAAAAGTTCCGGGACGGCTGGATAATTTGAAAAATACGCATCACAGAGGAAAATGACCTAGACAAAAGTTGTAGGATTTTTCCCGGGCAATCCGACGGTGACCTTAGATTTGACATTGGATAGTCATTTGAAGGTCACATAAAGATTACCTTCAATTTCTTAAATGAAACCCCCTATTTTTCATTGCATATTCTTGTAGCTTATCTCGAGAGCTTTCCAAAACACTATAATTAAATACCTTTTTATTAAGTACTTTTTGAGTTATAAGGCTTGAAATAATTTCTTAATTTTACATAAACTATAAAATATCTAGTAAACCATTCATTTTTCGATTATCTTACCTTCATACTTTTATGTACAAAATAATGAGAGGAATCAATTGGTGTAAAGAAAACATACAGTTGTTTTTAAGAAAAAATATGGAATTGTTAATTGCAAATTACATATTTTTTCTTAGAAACAACTATGTGTTTTCTTTACACCAATTGATTCCTCTCATTATTTTGTACATAAAAGTATGAAGGTAAGATAATCGAAAAATAAATGATTTACTAGATATTTTATGGTTTATGTAAAATTAAGAAATTATTTCAAGCCTTATAACTCAAAAAGTACTTAATAAAAAGATACTTAATTATAGTGTTTTGGAAAGCTCTCGAGATAAGCTACAAGAATATGCAATGAAAAATAGGGGGTTCCATTTAAGAAATTGAAGGTAATCTTTATGTGACCTTCAAATGACTATCCAAGGTCAAATCTAAGGTCACCGTCGGATTGCCCGGGAAAAATCCTACAACTTTTGTCTAGGTCATTTTCCTCTGTGATGCGTATTTTTCAAATTATCCAACCGTCCCGGAACTTTTGACACACAATGTATATATATATATATCATGGATGTAGGAATAACTGGATGGAGTATATGAGAGGGGAAGTGAAGCCAGAGACGTAGGAGGGAAATTGCCAACCTAGATGGCGGCGACAGATGATTAAACGAGCAAGGCGATACTCAACCTCATTTTATATTAAGATGATATACCTCATTTAAGATTGTCTTAAGTTAAAATGCTGTGTAGAACATTTTACAATTAAATGGCTACAGAGTATCTGAAGATAAACTTAAGATGATTTTAAAGTTGTTTTAATTAATAATAATAAATTAAAATAATAAACCATTAAAATTAGCGTATAAATTAAATTATGTATAACTTATTAATATCATCTAGAAATAATATAATTTATAAATAATATAAGTGTTATAAAAATAATAAAAAGGATAAAAAGTTAAATCAACTATAATAAATAAATATATATTATGTTTTATTTGTAAAACTATTATAAACAAATAAAATACACTATAAAAGATTTTGTATCTGCGCAATTCGTTTATTTTTTCTTTGAATTGTTTGTCGAAGAATTTTAATTTTATGTTTGTACATCACCCTTGTATTTTCTAAAACTTTCTTCAGGAAAACTTTCCGAGGAGAATTTTCAGTAAATGATGGGGACACAGATGTACCTACTGTGACTCGTTTTGGTGTAGTTGCCATGAAACATTCCGTTTCTAATGCTACTTCAGTTTCTACACAAATAAAAATAAATAAAACTTTAGTACATAAACCATGACAAAAATTTTATTCTATATTTAATATATAATCAAATTTAATGTTGTCTTTTTAAAAACTAAGTACTAAATAATGAAATAGTGATTTTTGACATTTATTGTATGGAGAAATCTTTTAACAAAAATGAGGACAAAGCATATTTAAAATAAAAATCTAAGGCTTAATATAAACAAAATATACTATTTCTATGATTAGCAGTATGTACTATTAACAGTATATTCATCAAATTACTTTCATTATTATTTACCTTCAAGTCTCTCCAAATGATCACTTTCTTTCCACCGTTTTTCTAATGGCTCCTCACTTATATCGACAATAAGTGAATCTTTTTGTATTTCTTGTATAGGTTGTTCTTGTATTTCATCCATGGATGTAGTGATTTTATCTGATTCATGATCTGAACAAGTGTCATTTGCTTGTGTAGACATCAATATCTATAATTATGTAGTTATGTTATGTTATTTACTTTATATAATATATACATATTAAGTAAATTAAAAATACATATGTAAGTAATTTAAAAATTCTTCATAGTAGAAATAATACCATTGGAAGTGCATTCTTTCGAAGCCTAACACAAGAAAGGGAAGTTCTATCAAAGTCATCATCCTTGAAGTGCAGGGAACATACGTAAGAATTTATTCCCACATTATCTACAACCGAGCCAATGCGATCTAGCCATAATTTTCTGAGCTGAATGTCTTTTGGAATTCTATAATCACACATACATAATAATATAATAGATATAATAATACATATATGATAACAAATTTATATAAAATTAAAAGTATAATAATAGTAATATTAATAAATTTATATGACGTTATAAAAAATTAAGTAAAGGTTATAAAGTGAGCTTATAAACCAAGTTGGATTTTAATGCTTAAACTTGTAAAAGAATTTAAACAATAATATAAAAATTTTAATAATTAATAATTCTTACCTATGAAACGAAATCTTCTGATGCATTTTCTCGTACTTTATTTGCTCTGCTTTTTTTGCAGTTCTTCTATTTTTGCAATATTGTAAGCAACAATTTGGTATTTTTACTTTATTATTTTTTTGTTAAACTACACAATTTTAATCTTGACATCGATACCTTTCCACATCATGTGTCTCGCACCGCCATGTTAAATTGCCAACCAAGATGGCTGCTGACTGATTTTCCCCTCACCTCTCAAGCTTCACCCCCCTCGCCCATAAAAGTACCTTATGCTCCATCCAGTTATTCCTACATCCATGATATACAGGTATATATATATATATATATATATATATATATATTCTGACGTTGCAGTCCTGTCGCGCGTCCATCCGCCCCGATAAATTTAATGAGCCGAGCGGCCGCGCCAGAATCTGCATCGAGAGAACATTATCGAGCTCCCCGGAGAGACGAACGATATTATTATGTTTTTCGCGTTTATTAATTTTATTTGTCATTTCTTTTGTATCGAGCGAATTTCGGGCAACCCGCCGGAGAAGATCAGCAGGGCGAGGCGAGGAGCGTATCGAGGGATCTTACGTCACGGCTGACCACACGGCGCTTCTCGACAGCCAGCGAGGGACGAAATAGCGCCTGAAAGGTCGAGTGACCACACGCCAAAGAGGCAACATCACCCCTTTTCGAGAAGGCAGAAGGGACGGATCGGCGCTATCTCCCGCGCAGAGGCGAGAACGACAGCTGAGCCTCCACCGGGCCATTGAAAAATGGGCCCGCGATAGCGAAATTTTAATTCGAGGCCGTTATGCGCCAGGCGCCGAAATACCTCGCATTTTGCGAGGCGCCAGGATCTCTCGCGTGCCGTGATATGATTGGCCGCGGGGCTGCGCACCCCTCTATGCGGTCATTGACGCCGCTATCGACTCGGGATGGAAAGATCCAGGGATGATTCTGATGCGGGCGCTCGATAACAGTAGTTGCAATTTGTCGGTTGTCGTCTTGTGAAAGTTTGTGAGAGAATCGCCGTTGTCGGGATATCCGCCGAGGACGAAACCGAGGACCATCCCCAGCGCTAGGAGAAGTATCGGTGAGGTTGCCCATGTTTTTATTGTGAGCCACATACGCGATTTGATCCGCCGACCGGTCGTTCTACCGCCGTCGCCATTTTCGTGTTTCGCGACCGCTCAGACTCAGGATCAAGCCAGCGAGATTTTGGTGAATTTTCGGGCGATCGGAGGCAAGCGACCGAGGAAAAGCGGACCATCGTATTGTAGGCATTAATTGATAAAGTAATGTTCGTCTCTCTCCGGGTCTCGGGATATTCATTACGCGTAGTTATCGACCGCCGAATATCGACCGCGTGCGCGAAGGATCGCGAAAAGCGTATATCGCTCGTGTCGTCGTGTCGTGTCGTTGCCGCGTGAAATATTCCCGTAAATTATCTCATGGCGATTTTTGTGTCTGATTTCGTGGATGTTCTCGTCGATTGTTAAGTATGCGTGTGGGCGTTTATTGTATTTTATCGTATGGTGTGCGTTAGAGTATTTGCGTCTTTGTCGCGCTTATTACGCCGTCGAATAAAGCGTAATAAATAGTAATAGAGTATTTGCGTCTTTGTCGCGCTTATTACGCCATCGAATAGAGCGTAATAAATGATAATTTGTGTCTGTCGAATTTGTCGCGGTGCGAAATAATCGCCAAAGTCCGACCGAGAGTAAAATCTGAACTGCTTGCGCAGAAGAAAGAGGCGAAATGCTGGCAGAGAAAAATCTCCGGCCGCCGTCGGCTATCGAACATCGAAAGTATCATTCGTCTATCGCATACGAGATCCGTCTTCGCAAAACTATTAGTTATTTCCGATCTCTGGTTAATTAGGCTGTTGAGCTATTAAGTTGTCGTTTAAACTTGCGAATTGGGAAATTGTGAAGAAAAGTCAGTAGCGATAAATCGTCGATTTGGTTGTCGAAATTATGATATCTTTTGAGTGAATATTATCCGCGAATATTTTCGTGCCGAAAATCCTTTGTCTTTCGAGAAATATCGTCCCGCAAACTCCAGCCATAAAAACGGGCTCGGATAAACAACAGGAATGTGTTAGCGCTCTCGTTTTCAGTTGTCGATTTCAAGCGAACATTTGCTTTGAATAACGTCTTATTATTCGTGCCAAGATTAATTTGATTGTGTATTTCGCTTTCGTATTTTCTTGAATTTATTGTGAACCGTTGTTTTCAAACTGATCTGTTATTCAAGTTTATTGTTACATTTTTCTTTTATATTATTTCTCTATTAATAAATTTGTTATATTTCTTTGTTAAAATCGCGTAATTTATTTGAGTGTTAGTTTCTCGTGATTGTCGATACCCGTTTTGTGTCTGTCGCATTTTGAATTAATGAAGTCTCGCATAATCAATTGACTTTCTTCCAAAACCCCTCCCCTCTACCGTTAGGCGAGCTAGTCGGCCCGTGGCGAAGCAGGCTATTATTTTTCGCGTTCTTTGGAGTTCCGTGGAAAAACTGATGCGTGAAAGACCACATCTTGCGCCCAACTTATCGAGATATCGAAACGGCTTCCGCTCCGCTGTAGCTCGCGCGAGAACGCCCTCCATCCCGGTTCCTCTGTGCGCGAGTACATTAATTTCGCTATTTTTTTTTGACGGCGTTTTCGCTCCCCCGTGCACGCTCTCCCCCCAACACCTCGAGGAGTGTGTCGATTAATTTGAATTGAAGAAACGTCGCAATATATATATAATATATATATATATATATAATATATATATATATATATATATATATATAGACAAGAAAATTAGGAAGAAGAAACAGGGTGGCGTCAGGCGCTGTATATACTATAAAGGGTTTGTCAGAAGTGTGGAAACCCCTAAATAACTTTTGTAAAAATGAAAATATAAAAAAACGGTAAAACACGTATTTTGATATTTCAAAAAAGCTACCCTATGACATGGATACCGATCATCCCCCACCCTCTGGTACACGGGGGTAAGAGGGGGGTTGAAAATTTTAAATTGGACTAGGGGTCGAGTGGGGGCTCATTTGAAAGGTCTTTTCATAATAAACACACCCTTGAAGTTTTAAGTCGCTACGACCCCCCCATTAAAAATGGCGGCCGTTCAAATTTCGAAATTTCATGCACTTAGTGTTATCCAGGATCAACTGCGTGGAAGTGGCATGAATTTGATCCCTTGTGTGTGTGTGTGTGTGTGTGTGTGTGTGTGCGCGCGCGCGCGCGCGCGTGTGGCTAAACAAGTGTGAATGTGTACATTGTGGTAATAGATTGTAAAACAGACTTGAAAACTGTCATCTCCCTTTAATGATTGAAAACCTTTTATTCCGTGTTTTAAAATAAATTTTACTCAATGTGTTAAAGTAAATGCTGAAAGTGGTTGCCATTTACTTCCTGACAATATGCCAATCTTTGGTAGAATGCAGAAATGGCTCTACGATTCGTTTCAAAAAGTATCAAATCTATTTCATCCCTTATTCGCTGTATCAATTCTTGGATGCTTTCAGGTTTTGTTTTGTACACCTCGGTCATCAGATCTAACTCCTCTTGATTATTATCTATGGGGATACCTGAAAAGTAAGGTGTACAAAACAAAACCTGAAAGCATTCAAGAATTGATACAGCGAATAAGGGATGAAATAGATTTGATACCTTTTGAAACGAATCGTGGAGCCATTTCTGCATTCTATCAAAGATTGGCATATTGTCAGGAAGTAAATGGCAACCACTTTCAGCATTTACTTTAACACACTGAGTAAAATTTATTTTAAAACACGGAGTAAAAGGTTTTGAATCATTAAAGAGAGATGACAGTTTTCAAGTCTGTTCTGCAATCTATCACCACAATATACACATTCACACTTGTTTAGCCACATGCGCGCGCGCGCGCGCACACACACACACACACACACACATAAGGGATCAAATTCATGCCACTTCCACGCAGTTGATCCTGGATAACACTAAGTGCATGAAATTTCGAAATTTAAACGGCCGCCATTTTTAATGGCGAGGTCGTAGCGACTTAAAATTTCAAGGGTGTGTTTATTATAAAAAGACCTTTCAAATGAGCGCACTCGATCCCTAGTCCAATTTAAAATTTTCAACCCCCCTCTTACCTCCGTGTACCAGAGGGTGAGGGATGATCGGTATCGTCATAGGTATCGGTATATGTCATAGAGTAGCTTTTTTGAAATATCAAAATACGTGTTTTATCGTTTTTTAATATTTTCAATTTACAAAAGTTATTTAGGGGTTTCCACACTTTTGACAAACCCTGTATATACATATATATATTAATTTATATATATATATATATATATATATATATATTAAGTCTTCTCCAGATAACACGAAGAAAGAAAAGAAAAGATATTGGTCGAAACAGTAGAAAAGCGATACGCACATTGTGCTATCAAAAAAGAAAATCAATAGAAACTTCTATACCAACAGATAATGCACAGACATTAGAAGCAACGAGAAAGCAATTGCACAGTAAATAACAAAAAATAACAAATTATGCTGTAGTAAATAATCAACACATTTCCAAAATATAATTAATACGTCATCCAATAATCAAATATTACAGGCTAATATATTACCGATCTCTCAAGAAATTTAAGAATCTGATATTGATATGCAGAGAAATAAATTATTACAACAATTTTATTCAACTATATGGTCTTTTGCAGGTATCGCTTGTAATATTTGTAAAAAAATTATATTATAAAAAACAGTTATGTGTTACAAAAATGTTTGTTACAATAGCAGATATTTTTCTTGCTACGTGAATTAAATGAAATAATTACATGTTTCCGTTGTGCTAATTTAATAAAAAAAGTTCCAACACAAGCATGATAGTAATGTTATGTTTTTCAGAAGAAATTCCAGATGTTACACGAAATTTAATTGATATGGAACAAAGACTTTTATTAAGTATCAGACCGTTTATAAGTTATCAGTTCCGTTCATAAAAATTATTAAATTAGGTGGACGATCAGGTCAATCAGGTGGACGATTTGGTCAATCAGGTTTTCAAGGACGAGCTTTATTCGCACAAGATATAGAAGAAATTGTCATTACCAATTACAAGAACAGGCATAATTATTGTATATGAACAACTGGGAAATGTTGAACGATGCCGACAATTCCAAATAAACGTGCAAAATTTATCAATTGCTTTATTGTGGTTGGAAGAAAATAATCCTTTATATCGAAATATTAATATTAATCTTGATGTTACAAATTTTGACATTTCACAAATATGTCAAGTAATTGTAACATAGGGTAATGACATGAATATTGATGTAAATAATTGTGTTCCATCCGAAGTGCAAACCTCAAATCAAAGACAGATTTAATCGAAATTTCTGGGAATAAAGTAATAATCAGAGATTCCATACATCAACATTATGATATGCTTTCTGATGTTACTAGAGAGAAACAATGCACTGCATCCGACATCTTCCTACACACATCCCCTATCTTTCTCTGGACTAATCAGTATACTATAACTGCTATCCTTATACGCATTATAATGAACAAAGTCAAATAGATGATAGGAATATTGAGAGTGCAGTAGATTTAAATTTAAATATTCATAAGAATATTGAGAATGCTGCAGATTTAAATTTAAATATTGAAAACAGCAATAATGATATTGTCATTACGTCTTCTGTTTTATAGCCAATTGATGAAATTATACCTGATGTTCAATCTGTTTTTGAAAAAGAAGTAGAAGATGCTCCGTTATACACATTGTGGCGAAAAACTACAGAACCTATACAGATGCATATTGAATTTCGAGCTGAATAATTAGCTTGGTTTTGCTTTTTCCGAAAGGACGGGGAATGGACTTCATGAACCATCACGACAATATACTATATAACGCCATTAGATTATTGTCAAGTACGTATTATATGTCAGGATTCCAAATTTCGACGAAATGATTACTTATTTTATTTGTTGTGGATATTATCGAACTCGGCCAAATGTTTGCGTTTGTCTTACGAGAAGTCGCGACCTTGGGGTCACCGAATTAAATAAAATTTTAAGTGCGTGTAGTACTCGATCAAAGAAGTTTTTGAGGAAAGTGAGAGGACCCAACGCTCAGCCGTTTAAAAAAAAAACCAAGTGAAAAATAGGCCGTATCTTGTATACCAGTAAGTTTAGACTGATCTTCAAATAAGCGGCGTAGCTCGGGCGGTAAAGCCCGATACTATTATGCTGGTGGTCACAGGTTCGATCCCGACCTGTGGTAATTTCTTTTTTTTTTCATTTTTTTTACGCGAAACGTACAATATTTTTTTAATGAAAAAAATTAAATAAATAATTTAATTTTTTTGTTTTTATTTTATTTTTATTTTAGGAAAGGCAATTATTTACGATATGTTAATTTATATTAAATTTTATGAAACGTCACAATTCTATATATTCTACTCGATACTAACATAAAAATATATAAAATTATTATGCCCCTTATTAATTAATTATAATTTAATACGAAAGTAAAAGTTTTTATGATAAATATCATCCGAACAATTGTAATCGATCTGTACAAGATGTACATGATGATGATAGTAAATAAAAATTTTAACACTAAAGTTTGTCGTAATTTTATATTTAATTATAATTAATTAAAGTTAAAGTCTAGCTAGGATCGAACAAGATTTCAAATGTTGTTGTATAGGTATATACATAACACAATAGAAAAGGCAGGAAGGGACTAAAAACCGTTACCTGATGAAAACAGGTATACAAGTAACGGTTGGAGCAGTAGCGAAGTTGACAATAAGATTAAAAATTATGTACCGAATATTTTTCGTATTAAATTATAATTAATTAATAAGTGGCATAATAATTTTATATATTTTTTTTGTTAATATCGAGTAGAATATAAAGAATTGTGACGTTTTATAAAATTTAATATAAATTAACATATCGTAAATAATTGCCTTTCCTAAAATAAAAATAAAATAAAAACAAAAAAATTAAATTATTTACTTAATTTTCATTAAAAAAAAATATTGTTTCGCGTAAAAAAAATGAAAAAAAAAAAACTACCACAGGTCGGGATCGAACCTGTGACCACCAGCATAATAGTACCGGGCTTTACCGCCCGAGCTACGCCCCCGCTTACTTGACGATCAGTCTAAACTTACCGGTATACAAGATACGGCCTATTTTTCACTTAGTTTTTTTTTAAACGGCTGAGCGTTGGGTCTTCTCACTTTCCTCAAAAACTTCTTTGGTCGAGTACTACACGCACTTAAAATTTTATTTAATTCGGTGACGCCAAGGTCGCGACCTCTCCTTGTTAGATAGATTAAGGCAAGGAAATACTATTCCTGAAAGTCTTGTACAAAATTTGCGTATTAATATGAGAGCTTTACGTGGCTCTTATTGACAAACAGCATGTAGTGGTTTGCTATGGTTCATAATTTTCGGCCCATTACAATGGTTTTTAACATTAAGTTGCAACGATCTTAATTGAAAAGACATATTGAAAGCATGTCTTATTGCATCTGGAAGAAAAGGGAAAAATATAAATAACTTGCAATTTGATGAAAAATAACGATTAATTGTTGAGCATCTGGTAGCATTATCTCGTCATTTTATGGTTCGTGTTCATGCTATCGTATATTGCAAAATGATGAGACTTTGTTAGGTGGAAAATTAATAGATTTCTGGTAGAGAGTAGAATTTCAAAATAGAGATCCACACTAGAGTCCACACTAACATATGCTATGTTGGAATGAAGAAATTCCATCATTCGAGGGTCCAGATGGTATTGCTCTTATTGATAAGATTGTGTCGTGCACATCTCCTACAAGAGATAACGAATTAGATGCACTCATAGCACGGGTTCAAGTGCATACACATACTAGTACGTGTTATGAAGATAGACAACACGGACAATGTCGATTTGGTTTTCCTAGAAAAATTAGTGATATAACAATGTTGCTTGGACCAGATGAAGCTATTTGTAATAATGGACATTTTTGTATATTAAAGCGCAACTCTATAGATATTTATATCATTAATTATAATCCTACACTCCTTAAATTATGGGGTAGTAATATTTGCAATCTTGTGGAAGTGTTACGGGTATAGTCTATTATATAGCTAAATATGCAGCTTAACATGAATCTCATAATGTTGGTCAAGCAATAAAAATGCAATTATAATATATAAAGTGCAGAGGAGACATAGGAAAGCAATCATTCAATATATCAATGACTATACTTCGACATAGGCAAGTATCTACTTGTGAATGTGCATTTCGTTTATGTCATTTAAAATTACGTGATAGTTCACGAAAAGTTGTTTTTGTAAACACAACTGCTTTCTACAAGAATTATGGGGTAGTAATATTTGCAATCTTGTGGAAGTGTTACGGGTATAGTCTATTATATAGCTAAATATGCAGCTTAACATGAATCTCATAATGTTGGTCAAGCAATAAAAATGCAATTATAATATATAAAGTGCAGAGGAGACATAGGAAAGCAATCATTCAATATATCAATGACTATACTTCGACATAGGCAAGTATCTACTTGTGAATGTGCATTTCGTTTATGTCATTTAAAATTACGTGATAGTTCACGAAAAGTTGTTTTTGTAAACACAACTGCTTTCTACAAGAACGTTATCGTATGTTTACATTGCGATTGTAACATATATATGGGGCGTTCCACGCC